GCGTTGAAAAAGTGATTCAGACGACGTCCACCAAAATGCAGCGTTTTCCACATTTTATTGAGTGATTGTCCTTATTCAGACTGTAACCCTCATTTAAGACCGTTGCTCCAGTAATCCGCGCGTTGTTCAAAGTACTCGTATAAATGTTTTACACTACTGACATCCTTTGCTTTCCCTGCGTCCTTGTACGGATCTTTACATCATCTTAACACATATGGTGTTTGCATTATGTTTGAAACAATAAGTAGAAGCAATTAAAATACCAGGGACGTTGTCAACATACAAATATAACTGTTATTTTATTTGTACGGTATTTTATTTGTATTGTATTAATTTCCAAAAATAGTAGTTGCTGCTACATAATTCAGCCGTATTAACATTTATCTCAATCAGTTTGAAAAATCTTCATAATTGATCTGAAAATCCTAGTCAGACGTGATGTACATGCGTAATACTCGCGCTATTCTAATACTGTGTTTAAAGTACATTTCTTCCAAATTCCTCTTACTCAGACATGTCAAACTGCGCCCGCGCGAGCTACTTGCCTGAATGGGAAGCCTTGCTCTCTGGGAAGCACAGACAACTTCCCCTGACTCCTCTCTCATTTCCCCTCCTAATCCAGAAAGAGGTCGTACCTAAGTTGTCGCAGCGTGAGATGCGGGTTAGTGGCTTCATTTGAAAAGGTTTACCAGATTTGTTCTATCAAACAACCTACTTATATATGTTTTTATTATTTACTACTAACATCTACTTCATGCTTATTTTCTTTCTGAATTCTACTTAGTATAAACAGATGTCAGGAAGATGTTTTAATGGCAAATTCTTTGCCTGTTTAAGTTTTGTGTTAGTTATGATTCAATCATTTACATATTCACTGTACATTAATTTCCGCTCATGAGTGGACAGCTCCTTCAACAAACAAGTATTTGTGTCTGTTAAACTTCCTAATCTTAACTAAGGAAGATATGTAATTATTGCACAGTTATGTAAACATATCATTCAACATTTTTAATTTTTCTCTCATTTAACAATTTGAGAACAATCTGAGATGTGGTATATCATTTTAATAGATAATTACATTGCTTTAGTCGAGAAAATGAGAATTACTATAGCTACATTTTGGAAAATAACTATCAACCGACTTCTCCAAAATACTGTAAGGTTAACTAGGTGCCAAGTATCGTACCACCACCTTAGAGTAAGTTGGACAACCTTTAATTTCAAATTTCGTGCCAGTTGCTTGGGAGGCTGTGTCCCGGAACTCTAGTAAAATACTTCCACCTTCATATGCCTGCTCTACTCCATTCACATAGCGCGTGTGTTTACTCAGCGGTGTGTAAAAGGGATACTAGTTGAAAGACTGGCACTGTAACACTCACCTTCGCGCGCCGTCCTTGGCGCCACCTTTGTCCACGTCCGCTGCTCTCCTCAGTAGCGTGGCCTAGGTGCGTCGTCGAAGCCGCCGTGACGTCATTCAGTTTCCACGCTAATCTGACGCACTCCGCACATCTGCAACGGTCAAATCGTATTCGGGGTAAGGAACGCCCTATTCTCGTTGCAAATGAGGTGTGGAAGCTCAATATATTTCGTAGTATTGGATTGTTATAACGACTTAACGCAACCACACAAATTATAAAGCCCCACACAGAACAGAAACCCTTATCGACCAGCATTATTTAAGGAAAATCGAAAAAAGATAAGTAGATATGGTAGATTTGAGCAATCGCTAAAAATGCAAATGTTACCAAATGCTGAAAAAATAAGTAATTATATATTTGACGTCGCCCCAATATATGTTTAAAGGTTTTCAATCTGCGATAAAATGCAAAATCGAACGCAAAGGGCGGAACTACCTACAAAGGGCTAAATTGTCGTGAGTCTGTGCTATAATAGCTAAATTGCATTTTATGGTTTCCTTCGTAATATTTAGGAATGCGACATCGGCAAATACACATCAATGTTTGAAAATATTTAATTTGACAGTAGCCCTGATTATTAATTTATAATTAAGATGTAACTGAAAAAACAAATTAAAAACTGATAAAAACAAATACAAAGCTGATCCTGAAAGCCTGATTGCGAGACAATCCTTTTCCTCTCTTTTGAACAGTGATATTCAGAATCCTGTAGTTCTGCACAAAACAGGAATTATTCTGTAGTTTTAAAATTACTTCTTTAAAAAATGTTGAGGTTCACAAATGGCGAAATGTTAAATAAGTTTACCTTATTTCCTAATTTCAATGAGACAATTTGAAAAAATAAATATATTTTATTCTCAAATAGTCCTTCCTTAACAATAATTTTCCCAACAAATGTCACAAAATGCTAAATCTTAATTTTTATAATGCTATAAAATGCTATGCTTTTTTTCGAATTTTTAAAATGCTCTATAAAAAGTGCTAAATTGTACATACACTATAGTAAGATATAGTCAAAGATATATTGTAGCATATTTACACGATGGTTTGATGACAAGCTAAGTTTTGATAAGGCCGAGGACCATGAACCAAGAAGACCCAGTCTACACCTACCGCTTTCGCCGTTGGCACTATTTGTAGTACCTGATGGATAATGATAGATCGCGACGGTCAGTTATAGCAATGGCAGCTGCGGGAGTTGTGGCGACTTAGGCAGGGTCCAGGAATTGGTGCCACATTTTACCACAGGAGGGGCCACAGGTGGCGGACGGGGGTGGAGTCGACGGTGCAGGTGGCAAGGTGGTAATGAGTTGAAGAGGCCGGTCGGGGCGGAGGGGCGGTGGGGACGATGTGGGCGGAGGAGGTGGAGGGGCGGAGGAGGGGAGGCGGCAGAGGAGGTGGAGGGCGGAAGGAGGGGGCGGGGAGGGTGGTGAGGCGGAGGGGCGGGGGGCGGAGGCGGCGGAGGGGTCGCGGAGGGCGGAGGGCGGAGGGGCGCGAAGGGGCGGAGGCGGGGGCGGAGCGGCGGGGCTTGGGGAGAAGCGGAGGGGGCTGAGAGGGCGTGGGAGCGGAAGGAGTGCGGTGCGGAGGTGTGAATAGGAAGGCGTGAAGGAGCGGGAGAGTGGAAGAAAAGTGATAAAGGCGGTGGCGTGGCGACGAGAGAACGCAGGAGCGAGGTCGTGGAGCAAAGATGAACAGTGCGGAGGGGTGGCGCCGGCCGGAGGTTATGAACGGGCGGAGGAGGTTGAGAGAGTAGGTGACGGCGGAAGCCGCGGATGAGCAGACGCGTGGGAGGTACGCGGGGGGGGGGTCGGAAGTCGGCACGGCGGTAAGTAGGCTGTGGAGAAGGTCGAGACCGCTGTACTGGCACTTGGGATTTAGCGTCCGCGTTTATCTGAGCCGAAGGGGATCTGGCAGCGCTCGGCGCGGGCGGGCCACGCCCCCGCGCTGCGCCCCTCCGCCGCTCTCCCCCGCGGCGCGAGGAGGGCGTCCCGGAGATGCGACGTGACTGGCGGTTGCCTCTGATTCCTGTTCAGCAGTTCGCTCGCCGTCCTCTCTCACGGGATTAGTCCTCTCCTGTTTGTTGCGCAGCGGTAGGATCGCTCCTCTTGTTGAAAATGTCGAGGACGAGCGAAGACCACCAAGTGTATGAACAATATTACGATATTCCACGTACACTCCACATACACTCCACGTACACTCCACCATTCCACGTATAGGTAATATTTTGGTAGGCGTTATATGTGGTTGCTTTTTAATTTCCAGTATTTGTCGGTAAATAATTGCCATTTCATTAAAAAATAAGAGATATACTTTCAAAAAGTATGTGAATTGTACATTACAAAATTCACCCTTCGAAGATGTAGCGATGACACCTGAGTAGTATATAGAATATAATAACTGCTACGAATTGTTCCTAAGATTGAAATAATAAAACTTTCAAATCTAAAAACCCTTCGTCAGACCTTTCTTCAAATCTTTCGTCTAAATTTTAGTCTGTAAATATATAATAAGTAAAAATCATTATTTAAAAACTAAATTTCAAATTAACATTTTGACGATTAATTTCAAACAAAATTTACTATATTTATGTAAATGCACTGAACATTACTGGATGCGAAAGAAAAGTTTTGAAGAAGCAGTAATCTGAATAAAGTACGTGTGCTTCATTCAAATGGGTAATTTTTATCTAAGAGAAAAAATAATGCCCATTTCGTTGACTTTAAAGTTCCAGGAACAGAAATGTGTGGGTGACATTTCTACCCAATGCATTTCAGCATTCGTTTCGCCAGAGTCATATCACTCTAAAGAAAACAATATTTCTTTCCTCGCTTCATATTTCAAATTATAAGAGCGTCTGTGTATTAAAGCGTCAGACGTCGCCGAGTCTAAACAGCTAAAGACGTCCTGAATTCAACCTAAAAAGAAAATGACCTTAAATTCATCAAGTCTTTTTCCATTCGAGAACGATACGACAAATGGAACGCTCGCGGATTTTTAATTCACAAATTCCCCGAAGAGACGCGCGCTTCATTTCGGGACGCTCGCTCGACAGAAATAAGAAAATGCCGCGAATATTTGCCAAAAATCGAATTCCGGCCGCACGGGCAGACAGCTCTTCGAGACCGCCCCACCACGCAGTTTGTCGATCGGTTCCCGTGAGGCGTCGTGCCTTCTGCCGCAAAACAGCCCAATGACGCAACAGTGCATCGAGGAGGGTAAAAGACGACAAAGAAGATGATGACGAAGCTGGATTAGGAATAAACGTGAAGAGCGAGTGTTTCAGTGTGTGTGTGTGTGTGTGTGTGTGTGTGTGTGTGTGTGTGTGTGTGTGTGTGTGTGCGTGAGTGCGTGTGTGCGTGTGCGCGCGTGTGAGCGTGTGAGTGAGTGAATACTGATTCGGGGCGCGACTTTTTGAATCAGGAGTCCCGACTATATTATATCCCAGGATAGGACGGGGTTCCTGCGTTGGAACGTACGATTCGGCGCCGCCATTCACGGCTTGAGATCTGGAGCCGACCTACCGTCAGCTAGAGGGATTTCCCCCAACAGACAACACCAGCACAACCAGTTGTGCTCCGCCACAGCCGGGACAAACTCTGAGCTCCCGAGCGATCTCCTGGCATGTATGGTACTGTAGTGCATGTTGGTGTAGTAAGTGTGTGTAAGAGGTAAGGATAGGACAAGGAAGAGGTAGGAAAATCACACGCGGTCCGTGGTTCGTTTGTTAGGATACTGCAGATTCAAATGTAGATTTTCGGTAATGTGTCCAAAGATACTCATCTTAATTTCTCTAATATATCCATTCTGTAAAATGTTATACTGAGTTTTTCACTCTCTACGAATAAAATCATTAACAACTGGAAATTAAATACCGTCTGCGGATCGTAATTATTACTCTCCTGCAAGCTCAGTTAAATTTGAGAACTTTCATTACATACAAGTTCGTGTCGTTACATAAATTAAGATCAGAAAATGCGCTGACTGAAATTGTCCATAAATCATATCTCAGTCAATGAAACATTACGATAAATTAATCTCTTGTTTCAACAAAATAAACCTCATTCAATAGGACAATTCTCATTTTATACTGATTTTGTTGTTTATTAGCTACGTGCAATAAAATGCAGTTCTCTTAAAGCATTGGCCAAAGGTGCGGCAGCAACAGGACAAAAATTAGTCCGTCAGGTACACATGTGAAGGAAGGCATTTTATTAGCAGTGGAATGCGGGTCAGTTATAAAGTAAGTACACAATGTACACAATTACAATTCTAGCTGATCAAAATTCATTTTCTCTACCTTCCAGCAGAATTTATTCGCTTTTGTATTGTAGGAATAATTTACCGTAAAAAAGCAGAAAAAATTGAAAAAGCAATTGAGAATAAAATTTGCAAAACACGTTTTTTTAAACCACTTATTCGTTTAGTTAAATAATATGCCCGTTAATTCCATGAAACATTGTTGATTATTACAATTACGGCATGCGTGCAATTAGAACTTAATTGTCCAATTAAAAATCCACAACAGCCAATGATAACTCAGAGAACTGATCGAAATACTGGAATTATATATCTATAATACAGACGTTTCCAGACGGCCATGAAACGAGAACAAAAATGTACATAATTACGAGCATCAAAAACATAATCAATGAACGATTGAAAAAACATTTTAAACAAATAATTATTACTACCTCTTAGACAATCATTTTAGTATTTGTAGTACAATAAGTTAAATTAAAAACTATTATCCTACGCATACCTAACATCATTAATCTAACCCAGAAGACGTTTTATATTGCACAGATATGTTAATTCAACTATTTGATCGTGGCAGCCCATAGAGAGAAGTTGTTTTGACAAAACTGCTTATTTGTTCGCTCTGGATAGTACACCAGCAAAACGTCAGAGTCAGAACTGAATCGTCTTTCTCCTGTCCAACATTAACACGTGTCGTTCTCATAGACGTTTCGTACAAAGTAATGTTTTCATGGCTTCGTCAGCTTCTAATATTTCAACCGAAATAGTTCAATATTTTCCATTTTCAAACGTTATTATCCATTACAATTATTCTCTAAGACACTAAGATGATCGTAAATATACACTGCAAGGCCTACTAAAATAGGTCATGTTGAAAACTCATATGTTGTCATCAAACACACCTCTTAAGGTAAATATATGATTGAATTTTTCAAAATTAAAATTATTCTCTAATGGAAACAAAAAAATATTGAACAAAACACGTGGATAAAGGGTTATAATTGCACTCATGGGAAATAAGAAACCTCGCTCCGATAGTCGCTCGTTTTCTTGAACGTACCATTCATGCAATTATAACCCTCTTTATACAGTCGTTTTGTTAATTACTATACCATTCTCATTTCATCTTGTTGTTTTTAAAAACAAAAGATATGTAAAATATTTGGAAATTAAGACGTTGAAAAAAAGACAAGCTGTAATAGCTCAGCATAAAAATTAATGCCGTTGCTGCATTATTTGTTTGAGAAGATGTGGGTTTCGAGTCCCAAAGTGCACGGATTTTCGACACTAACTATAATAACTGGATCTAATTCAACCACTACATGTAGGAGGAATGAAGCCACCGCCCGCTCTGATATGAAATTGTCTGTGGTTTCTCCTATCAAAACAAAGTGAATGACGGGCAAGTGAACAAAGAGGCCACGGACCTCGCTCGATCTTCTCGTCATCTCCTTCTCTTGCCTCTCACATGTTCCCGTATATTTATATTGGTTACCGCTAGGTAACCAGTCGGAACTCAGAGCATTTCCTGGCCGTCTGTGGCGGTGCTCCTTTGAGAGAGAAACCTTCATGGAGGTGGCGCAAGCAGGCTTACAGGATCACGATCTTTTGTGAAGGAACACTGCCACATCCCAAGATATAACATCCAATTCCACTTACGGGACTAACGACCTTATTAGTGCGAAGAATAACAATTCATTTGCATACTCAGACACTCATTCACGCAGAATGTATATATCCGTTTAGTTCCGTAAAATACAAGGCAGAGTAGCTTCAGTTCGAAACCCCGGGTTTCAGTCGCCGAGGTCCGATCAGAAGTATTGTTCAAGAATCGATGAAAGTTCATCCAAAGCGCGTATTATCGAATGTTTGATCACTTTCGGCGCATTTCGACTTTGGTCTTGTATGGCATGACATGGAATTCATTTTCAGTTTGTAATACTATGAACAAACAGCAAGTATTAAAATTTTGTGTAATTATTATTTACCACAACAATTGGGTTAAACATTATTTTAGGATAAGTGGCACTCAGAATCACCACATACGATTTTGTCTTTCGTCACAAGCAATGTGTTGAGCAATGCCCGTGAAAAAAAGTTACCACCATAAGTTAAATTTTCTAGAAAACGCTTTCTTACGAATGTGTGTGGCAGAAACGGTTACGGAATTATTTATTGTTAGTATTAAAACGAAAAAAATGGTATTGATTTTTTACACTTGATATTCTTTAGTATTCCTATTTTTATCCTGCTAGAATTGCGAAACCGAACCAACTCCGCGGTGGCTTTTGCTCTTATCTCGTTCCCAGCGATGGACGCTCTTCGGGAGAGTCAAATAGCCGACGCTCAGTGCGCGATAGGGCAGCTGGAGTTTCACCTGTCCTGTTGCACCTGTAAAAGCAGGGCGGTCTCGTGTTGGGATGTCGAGGCAATAAGATCAACCGTTCTGAAATACGGTGCTCACTGAATGCAAAAACGCTGTAATCACCAAAGTAGCCTCAGTTTCTCAGATCTTTATTGCCGTAAAATTTAACATTCATGCACGTAGAACGTTTCATGACATGACATGCACGTTTCATGACATAGTAACTTAACTCAGTTAATAATAATACTAACAATAAAAATAATATTAATAATAAAACTATTTTTCGCAGTTTTACACTGCTAAAAACAACTTTATGTAAGGCCAAATTCTTATACTTTATATAATTTCGGTTTTATTCTCCCACGTCTCAAGTTCCTTACTATCCTTTTCCGTTGACTTTTTCTCGTACATAAGTCCATAAATTTCATACATGCTTTTTTTGGTCTTCCGTTTTTCTTCCTGTTGTCAGGAAACCAGTCTAAAATGGTATTTTATTGTCCGCCATTCTTTTAACGTCCAAATCACTGCAATCGTTTTTATTGAATATTTTCGAAAATTGTATGTTTCTTATTCATTTTCTCTCATAATTCCGTTTCTAATTTCATCCAGTTTTGGAGTCATGGATGACCTTAAAAAATCTATATCTGTTGCCAGTAATGTAAGTTTTAATTTCTTTTATTTCCTAGTTTCTGATCTGTATATAACAATACTTCCTACAATAGATTTAATATTTTTAATGTAGTTCCTTTTGTTATATGTTTATACCAAAATATTTTATTGAGAAATTATGTAGCTGATTTGCCTTTATTTATCTTTCTATGTCTAGAATCATCTTCTCGATTTGCATTCTTATTTATTTCTCTTTCCAAATATTCCTATTCTGAACAACAAATTTCGTTCTCTATACTACATACGTAGTATAGAGTACTGCAACAAAAAAAACGATTTTCAGCAGGAAATTGTGGTATTTGTGTACCGAGAAAGGAGATAATTCTTGTTTGTAAATTTACTATTGTATTACTTCCTCTAACACGTTGTGTAGTCAGAATCATCGTTTTCTAGGTTCTTGATATCGAAAAATTTGTTTACGGCAAAATGTGTGTCCGTCTGAATCTCTGTCCGTGAACAACACTAGCAGCGAAACTATAAGTAGTATTTTCAAGTGAATTAATATTTCTCAGTCGATCTGATGTATGTCGTGGCGCCTTGAATTCGAAAGCGATGCTTTAAGTTTAGAGAATACTTCACAACAAGCCTCAAGGACATTTTCGAATCTTACAAAAAAATTATTCAAAATTTTGTTATTAAACTTTGTCCTCAGATATCGTAAATAACGCATAAAAACGACGCAGATTACAGTTGTGCTGAAATATCTGAAAATTCGGAAATTACAAAAGTTCAATTTTTTTCGCCGCTTTCCCATAACTACGGTATTGAAGAACGAGACTTTTCCTCTAAATTAGATCTTAAGTAAGGATATATACATTTCCAAATATAGAAATGCAGAAACGACATTTCTCAAAAACGGGTTCAAAGTTTTTCTGAAACCTTTTTGTAAGGATAATTCTAAAAATACTGAGAACATTGATGTATTTTGATTTTTCAATAGCTAAACATAGTTTTTTTTAAAATATTTCTCATGTCGTTAATATTTACATTACGGAAATTTTCTATACATTATTGAATTTCTTAACAAAGGTGCTGAAAATTATTGAAGAAGATTTCTGATGAAGTTTCTGATGAAGTTTCTGAAAAACTCAAAACTTCTCTGCAAAAATGAGCTCAAAATTGCACATTTTCAGAAAGGCTCAAACAACATTTCATGAAGAGTAGCTGCAAATGTATCGATGAAAATTTTCATAAAGGAATACGTTTAACTCCCCTATAATATTCATATAGGTTTTTTCAATTCTATTATTAGGGGACTGAAAAATTGATCAAATGTCAAAACAGTCACTTTGGCGCTGGTCGGTAGCAGCTGGGACGAGGGGAGTAATATCGCAAAGCTAGCGTAGACTGAAGAGATTAGAAAACTAATTAGTGCGAGAAAATCTGTGCCATATACTTGGAGATCTGATGTCACTGCAGTCGCTCTGATCCGGAGGTCCTAGGGTCGAGTCTTGACGGCAACAGCATTTTCGACACTAGTTAGTCAGCTAGGTCGAATACAGTCTCGAGGAGTACTCAACCGGAAGGCTGCTCTGCTCGGTAGTTTTTCGTGGTTTCTCTTATCATCATCCGGCGAATGCTGAAGCAGTACCCTAACAAATGGGTCACGGACCTCGCGCGATCTTTCCCAGCTCTTCCTTGTCTTATCCTCACCCCTTGCACACACTTATAAAACAAACATGCATTATACTACCACATATTCCGGGCGACGCTTCCACATGGCGGAATCTTAAAGCTCGTGCTCCGCTGGTGGGAGATACTGGCTGGGGAAAACCCCGCTAGGTCGGCGTCGGATCTCGCCATTCAGCGGGGGAACCGCCACTTTCCGAGCAAAGAGAGACACACCCGATACAGGAAGAATGACCTAAGTAGTTAACGCGTCCGGAATCACTAACAATCAATCAATCTGTTCCATTCTGTAGCACCACTAGTTTAATTTCTCGTACTGTTAAATCAAGTCTATATTACTTACTCCCAATAAAATGTGTTTTCCGAATTAGTTTTTAGTTTCCATTTCTTGTATTTTTCTAATAATATTCTAAATATGATTTTTACATCTTCTGTGTTATTATTACCTGGTCATCTGCAAATAATAATGTGTATACTCGTAGTACTTCATTTCATATAAGAACATCCGTATCTTGTTTTTCTTGCACTTTTATAGGAATTTTTGTAAATATATTTTAAACAAAGATAAAATTTGATTCTGAAAGATTTCAGCATATTTAGTGTGCACTGATGAATGATATTCTCTCAGAAGTTAATAATGAAGGAACTATGCAATGATAAACTGCAAAGGGGATTTCTTTGTAACTTTAGGGTATGAGTTAAACGTCAGAAAAAGAATTAGATAGTGGAATGGTTCTAACACTAGTAAAATATACGATTTTAAACATATGTTTGTGTCATTTTAAGATCTATTTATCGGACATTATAGGGTACTGATTTTTTAAATCTTAATGCAAAGACATGGGGCTTCTCCCCTTTTATTACGATTATATATTTGAATATAATCGTATAATTCATATTTTGTTACATTCTGAACTATAAACAAAGTTGTTAATAGTTTTAATACTAAGTCTTGTTTCACATTAGAAAGGCTATTGTCCCATGAGAGATGATATAAATGAAAACAGCCCGTAAGGGCATGTAAGACGATACATTGGAAGTATAAAAAATTCAATGTCATACAAACATTACATAATAAAATGTTGAAAAAATAAATTTGCCAATTTCGCATGATTTTCCTTTTTTCATATCAAACTACTTTCTCCAGGAGCATCAAGACAGATTCTCTTATTCATAACAACTAAACAATAGTCATTTTACGCTCCACACGCATTGCAAGCCCTTCTTCATAACAATAAAAAAGCAAACAAATGAAAAAGAAGCCCCGTCGCCTGACACGTCCATTCAAAAGCGAGGACGAGCCACGACAGCAAGACGAACCCACACGCTGGGCGTCACGGGTGGGGGAAGGGGGAAGGCGAAGAGCAGAGGGGGGAGAGGAACAGACCGTCACGCCCGCACTCCGCGAGCGCAGTGCTTTTAATTAAATGCACATGATAAACATAACCGGGCGCGCGCGCTCCTTTTCTGTTTGCATTTAAATGGCCCTCTTTTTCGTCTCTTTGCGGGTGAAAAAATAAACGGCGCTGCACATGCACGGGACGGAAAGGGCACGAGGAACGAGGACCGTATCGGCTGCCGGGATCTGGGTCAATATTCGGTCCCTGGGGCCCAGACGCTCGCAGAGGGGGTGTCGGGCGGGAGGGAGGGAATCGGATGGAGTGGGAGAACCATCGGGAATGATGGTAGGTGAATTGGCAGTGGGAGTGGTAGAGAAGACGTTTAAAAGAGTGTTAGTGGGAAAGAGAGAAAACCCCAGATGGTAAGAATGTAGGTGAAAAGGCACGAAGCGAGGGAGGGGGAGAAGCAGACGTGAGGGAGAAAAGTAGGGTAGGGGAGGAGAAAATATTAAAATGTGTTAGGAATTGAATTGATGCCTTATTTTACGTGGCGAGGCCTGCTCTTCGTCTGACCACGCAAATTTCGCTACGCTCTTTTCACCAACTAGCGGAGAAAGGAGTTTTTCTTGGCGCAAAAACAGGCGATTTGAATTAGCTCAGAGGCGTCATTTAGGCTTGAGGATCTTTACATGCAAGTAAATCTACGAACATGGGACAGCCGGCTTTACTTCCCCTCCGAAAGGAAGCCGTATGAAGATTTTTTTCGCCCTTAAAAATCCACGGCTCGATCGGTTTGAACCCGCCAACTTGGGTAACAGTCAGTACGCTAACCGTTACACCATCGCCGCTGCCAGGAAGGAGAGAGAGTCCAAGTGGTAATTTAGGAGAGAGACCAGTAACTGAGGGGGAGAGGAAGAAGAAAGAGACTAGGGCAAACAAGAGAGTGTGATAGAAGAGACCAAGAAAAGAGACAGAGAAAGAGACAGAGAAAGAGACAGAGAAAGAGACCAGAGAAAGAGACAGAGAAAGAGACAGAGAAAGAGAACAGAGAAAGAGACAGAGAAGAGAGACAGAGATGGACAGCAGAAGAGACAGAGAAAGAGCACGAGAGAAAGACAGAGAAAGAGACAAGAGAAAACAGAGAGACAGAGAGAAAGACAGAGAGAAAGATAGAGAAAAAATAGAGAAAGAGATGGAAAAAGAGAGATGGAGAAAGAGAGATGGAGGAAGAGAGATAAAGAAAGAGGCAGAGAGAAAGAGACAGAGATAAGAAGAGAGAGAAAGGGACAGTATAAGGACAGAGAGAAAGCGGCAGAGAAAGAAAGAGACAGATAGGGAAAGAGTGAGGAATAGAGAGAAAAGGAGAAAAGGAGAAAAAGAGAGAAATGAGAAAAAGAGAGAGAAAAAGAGAGAAAGAGGGAAAAGGAGAAAGAGAGAAAAGGAGAAAGAGAGAAAGGAGTAAGAGAGACAAAGAGAGAGAAAGAGAGAAATCATAAGAAAAAGGTTAAGCAGAGAAAGAGGGGTAGAGAGAGAGAAGAAAAAATACAGATATCTAAGAGGGAGACAGATTCACTAACCAATTGGTGACTGATAGAATTAATAATGCACAGAAACACCCATGTGCCCACGAAAATGGAAGAGAAATTGAGCCATAAAGCATAGATTCTGAAGTATCACTAGAAAAAAAAACTAGATCTTGCTAATTATTTCACTGATACGAATAGATGAGCATATATAGGGATAAAATTAGTGTCTGGAAGATTCGTGGAGTTGTGGTAAATGCAAAATGTTGTTTCTGAAGAATCTGAGATAGTACATAACCTTCAATATGCAGATGTTTCGGAAGAAAAGTTAGTAACAAGAAAGATAAATTGTGACATGATTGTATTTATAACGAAGTGAGAATACAGACACCCTCTTTGAAGTTCTTAGAAAACAGTAAAACATAAACAAATTACACATTTTAACACTCCCTTACGTTCAAACACGGATTCGTCTACATCCACGTGACGTTTGCAATAACCAAACCAAATATATAACTCTAACCAATTACCTCAGTCACACAACTAATCGAATGTAAGAACGCAATAATAATAATAATGGAATCGCAACTGTACATGTGATTTTAGAAGTTGTGAAGTTACAGTTGTGATACCTGAGAATTTCAACAACGCTAGGTTGCTAGGGTTCTTGAGATTGTAGTTACATGCATACGGCGAAACTTTAAGAGAGTTGAGGCACCCCTATCTGATGTTGTGGAAAGTGTATTTCCCAAATAAATAGATGTGGTAATGTTGTAGAAAGGGAGAGTTCAAGGTGAGAAGCAAACGTTCTAATGAAAAAAAGACAATGTTGTGGGGTCAGTGTAGGGTTAAGGGCGAATATTGAGTAAATGTTAGGGCAACCTCATGATGTCTGTAGGCTCCTTTATTAGCAGAATACTGACGCAAAAATAATAAATATGATGACTAGCGATTGCCATATAAGAAAGTGATGATGAAGAAACGATTCCTTAAATTAGCCTTAGTAAATTCGATTAACGGCTATAAAATGACATTGTAAATATCACTGAAAGAGTCATAAATGATAATACGAGAAGCGGAAAGGTAATATAGTAAGAAAGAAAATTATTGTAGGAAGAAGCAAGTTTTGGGTCCTCGTTCTGAAAACAAGGGTAAGTAACAATTGTGTTCAAAATCAACGTTCAAATTACTCGCCCACCCAAAAGCTAATGTCTTGAAAGCAGTAAGCATTACATAAAATGAGTGTCTTAGAAAATAAATTTCATCGATATTTCAATGCAACAATGAAAATAAAAACTAAGATTAATATAAAAATTCCAGAAATAAAATAAATAATTTTATTCATGTTTGAAACATAACTAAAATTCGTGAGAATGGCGGTGGCAGCAACAGTAATGGAAAGAGTGGCAATTGCTATTGATCTGGCGTTCATCGTAGTGATAGTGGTGGAATCGGGTCTTGTGGTGCTGCAGATATAATGGTGAGATTTTTGACGATGGGGATCTGATGTGAGAGGTTGTGGAGATAGGGTTAATGTTGTCAAATGTGATACTTGTTTTGGCGTTGACGTAGACAGTGCCGATGAAAGCAATAGAGGGGCGCCAGTTACAGCCGTGTGTGTTGTGTGAAACAAATGTATGTCGTTGCCGGCCTTCGCCAGTGGTGTGTGCGGGTGGAGTCTGTGGTAGCGACGCCCACACAAAGCAACAGCGACGGAACGAGCGCGGCGTTGGCGAAGCAACAAGGGGGCGCCGCACGCCGGAAGTGGGTGCCGAAACAAGCGCCGCGTTTAACGCGCAATATCCGGCGGGCGAACGGCGACGGTGGCGCCGCTTCGCGGTCGAGAAGTACGCAGTCGGGCGCCGCTACCGTTACACGCCCCCTCCCCTTCACTTCTGTGCCCCTCTCCCCGCCCCTCATCCACCCTCCCGGCTCCTTTGCCCTCCCCGCACCAATCACTGCTCACCGCCACCGCCCAACCGGTTTCCTCCTCCCTCCCCGTCGCAGCCCTCACCATCCACTCCTCGCCTCCTCCCCCCTTTCCCTCCCCGCTCCACCCACTCCTCACCCTCTCCACCTTCCCGTCTCCCTCCCGCCTTCCCGACCCCATCCCTCACCACCTACTTCTCGCCTCCTCCACCCTCCCGGCTTCCTCCCTCCATCTCACCCCTCCCCGCTTCATCCATTCCTCTCAGCCGCCAGCCCCCCGGCTCCCTCCCGCTCCACCCCCGCCTCGACCAGCCTCGCCCTTCCTCTCACGCCACCCGTAAATATAACGCGGCGCTTTAAAATAAACATCCCGCCACGGTATTGCCAGGTTTCCGCGCACTCTGCGAACCGAATCGCAGCTCCTGCGCGAAATCGGGGAAAAATTACGAACGAAAGACACACGCAGCACATCGCCCAGCGCAGAAAGCGGATTTCCGCAGAGGCGGCCCTGAGGCTATCGATATCACAGGGACTTTCTAAAACAAGGGAGAGAACCTACACGGTCGGAACAGTAGTTTATTGTTATGTTTATACAACAAAGAAATGCTGCAGAGTTTGATACAGTCAAAAGTTCAGAGCGGTTGTAAAAAATGAAATATATTTTATATTTTTACTGTGGATTTCTATTTTATTTGTTATTTTTTTAAAATTTCGGTTTATATTTTTTAGAAGAAATATAATAAGAAGAAGCAATGAATTTAAAAGCTTATAATCACCTCAGCATTCACTGTTCGATTTGATGGATCACTAGGTGGTGCCTTTGCATCCAGGAGCATTATGTTCAAATGACGTAGACGACACGACAAAGTTTTAAGAAAACTCTGAAAAGGTATATTCAATAACACAATTCAATCGATGAATTACTATACAAGAAAAATATTCGTTGTTAAGTTTTTCACTGAAACTAATGAAAACTAACAACTAATAAAAATGCCTCTTGATAATCGATTCAAGTCACCGGTTGAGGTAACTTAGGACTTGAACTGATGTCACTGCAGTGTCTGTGAACAAGAGAGGGTTTGAGTCTCGATTAATGTAGGATTTTCGACTTTAGGTAGGAAAAATTTAGGGGAATTCTCGCGTCAGCTACTCTGAACGGTAGTTTTTCGTGGTTTCGTCGATCAGCACCAGGAAAAATTTCGGGACAGTACCCAGAAATACGGGCCATGGAACACACACGAACTTCCCTTCCTCTTTCTTGTCCTATCTTCACCCCTCACTTCCAGACAGTCACATTTACATGCAATACACTACCACAAATGTCGTAAGACCAGTCGGAAACTTAGAGCTTCTTCCAACTAGGGGCGGCGTCCCGCCGGTAGGATATAGCTGATTGGGAAAATACCCGCATGTAGGTCGGGGCCCTCTTCTCACCATCCAGCTGGAGAAGAACACCGCCACCTCCAGCAATAAAATAAAGCACTAGACTTACGGGACTAATAACCGTAGCAATATATCTGCCAGGAAATACTAATCAATCAATAGATTAAAATCCACTCTATAACCCGACAGTTGACAACTGTACACGACTTCCCCGTTGGCAAAATCGCTTTAAAGAACAAAGCAACATTATACAATGTGACCAGACTGACCAGTATGAAATTGAAACCGAAAGATGGAATTACCGCAAACGACTTCCCGACGCGTCGTTACCAAATATTTTTAAATTCGAAACATTATAGAAGAAGTTACATAATTTTTGCAATTGTCCTTTAAAAAACTTCCACGCAAAGTCGCGTAAATACTTTTCACAAGACGCAGACATCCGCATCCCAATTCTCCTTACTGCGTTTGAAAACTTAAAAGCAGGCATGTCAAATTGCGCCCGCAGGAGCGACCTGCACGCCTGAAAAAAACGGCGCTCCTGCGAGCATGAGCAACTTCCCCTCACTCCGCTCAGATTTCTCCTCCAAATCCAGAAAGACGTGCAAGCAGAAGCTGGCAATATAAACGCAAAGCGTGATCAAAGTACAACGGATTATGGTAGCTTCAAACGATTATAAGCTTGCCTAATGTTTTCTATTAAACAACAAATATTTGAAACTTTATATTCTTCTTTTGTTTATATTCTTCTCTGAATATCAGTCTATATTCTACAGACCGATGCTATAGCCCGGGATAATTACTAACCAAGACTAATTTGTGTTACGAGCCGTGTATCATTCATTACTTTCACCACCTGCTTGTGAGAAAATTGCATAATTAAAGAAATTTCCTAGGAATACATACAGTATCTTTAGGCATGACTCATTTCTTTCGATTCTTAACGGGCGAAAAATATAGAACACTTTCATGCAAATAAACCTTTAAGCAAGCGATAGAAGCTTTTGATTCGCCAGAAGTGATTAGTGCGTGAAATTGGGACCGCTCTTCTTAACAGTTAACACCAACGTGTTAAATATAGATTGGTCGCGTTGACAATACTGAACCTGTTAACCTTTAATATCCAGTAATTACGTAGAATGTTTGCCAGTAATGGAAACCATCGACCGTAGTAAGCCAATCATTCAGGTTTTAATATTGTTGACTAAACTTTGAGTAATATCGTACATTTTTAATGCTTTGTTGTACTTCCAATTACTGTAGTCCGTTCCAGATTTAAGTTTTTAGAAACGGTCAATGAAGGAAACGATTGACCTTTTGGAGGCAGTGATGACGTTTTCACATTTCTGAAACATTTTGTGTTATGATTTTTAGTTACTGGAAACTTATATCAGGGAGTATAATTTATATTCTCCTGTTCCTGGGAAGGAGTTGAATAGAAAATAGTATCAACATGATCGTAATATAGACAGTAATTATAAAAAAATATTAAAGCATTACAAAATTCACACAATTTAAGTATATAGCTCACCTGAAACCATCGCCATGGTCAACATAAATTCTACCTACATGATAACAAGTTCATACGCTTTGTACACAGTGTTACATACAATGTACACATTTATCATGTTTCGAGGCTCAGCACTATGATTCCCTATGTGTAACATTTAACATATTGATGTTAAATGACAACTGGTCTCTCAGATGCGCCTTAAGAGCAGTAACTCAAAGGTTTAATCTTCAGAGAGTCTCAGTTACGTTCTCATGGACTTCTCGTTGATCGCTTATTCTTTGGGAATTAAAGAACTTTTCTATAAACAAAAATAATTACCAGTTTAACTTAAATACTGTATGCATGTATTTTCATAAATTCACATTCCCGTGAAACTGAGAAGCTTTCAAACTTTTCTCCCTGTCTTTGCAAAGCATTCTATATGTTCATTTAGGATCTTCTGTCCTAATACAGCTCCGGTTATAATGAACGCAGATATAGAGAACTCTGTTATAATGAACTTACGTTACTGTCCCGTTTCTCTTACATTACAAATAAGCATAAGAAGAATCGGTTCTAGTGAACCTCGGTTATACGAAACACGACCTGGAAACTAATTCTCTCCTCGCTTGCGCTAACCCGCTACCAAACGATCTCGTATGCTATGTGAATAAAAGACCGTTGAAGAGTGGGAATTCTAACGAGGCAAGAGGCATTGGAGGGTGTCAAAGCTGCATTCCGATACTTAGAGATAGTGGACAATGCAGAATGAAGTATGGAGAGAGCACAAACTTTGGAGATGAATCTTGAGTATCTAATAAAAATGTCCGTAGCAAACAATTTGAAGTAATTGATTTTTTAAGGACAAATAAAGACATTGAAAATTTAAGTTCACTCTGTTAATGTATTTTGCTGTACCTCTATAATAATAAAATCAATAATAGTAGAGAAAGTCTATGTCATTTTGACATCATCGGATATAGCGAACCTTTGATATAGTGAACCAAGAAAGGTAGTTCCTAGAAGTTCATTATAACCGCAGTCAACTGTACCATGTTGGTAGGAAAAGACACCGACCAGGATAATCCGCGATCTTTAATGTAATACCCCGTTGCTATTGGATACAACTGATAACAGTGACCCATAATGCGCGGTAACTACGTTACAGTCACTTGAAAGAATGTAACTTACAGAAGCTATTTGGTTGATCGGAACTTGTTCAAATGAAGTTAATCTATGTTTTAACTCAAGTAAACTCGATTGCTTCATGATAAACATTCAGAAACGGAAATCGATCATGTAACTAATCCATATGGAAATATGCACTAAGCCAATAGCAAACAATCCTGCATCAGAAGTAAAAAATACTCACACAAAAAAACATCGTCCAATCTTGTTAATAAGAACTTGAAGTGCTTAACGGAGTGGTCTTCACAGTGATATTTCATTGTCAACAAGATACGACAATTCTTAGAAATTAATTGTAAAATCTTTGATTTTATGCAGCGTTTGTTATTACATTACATATGTAATTTGATGGCATTTTCTTTATCGATTACTGCTTAAGATATGCCGGACTAGGTGAAAGATTTCAAAATGTATATTGTTCTAAAACCACCTTAATTAAGAACACTTCTCAATTAAAAAACGCAAATTAAATATAATGAATTGGCCACAAAAAAACAATTTTCACAGCTGCATGCAGCCACTCAACATAAGGGCAGACTCATTTGCAACGAGAGATAATGTAATTCTCTTAATAGGGCAAACGTAAGGAATGTTTCCAATCTTGATAGCAGGCAAACCACCCCATGAAATCCCAGGCGGCTTTCAAGCATTCATCTCTACCACGCGGCACCGCGGCGGCACCGCGACGGCCAGCGACACCCCGCCCCCTCTGCCGGCGCTGCCCGAGCTATAAAGCGAGCCGCCGCCGCCGCCACGGGGTTACGAGCGCGCCGCGCCGGCAGATAGCGCCAGCACCGGTGGGCGGAGGCGGTGCACGGTGGGCCGAAACACGAGCCAAAGACATGCAAATGACGGATTATTGCGAGTGTGAAAACTCGGATTGCTAAATCGTTAACAAAATATTTCTTTCAAATAAAATAAATGAATATAGACAAAGAAAAATTAAGAAAGTAAAAATCAAGAGAGAAAAATGAAGAGAATAAAAATTAAAAATTAAGAGGGTAAAAATTAAGAGAGTAAACATTAAGAGAGTAAAAATTAAGAAAGTGAAAATCAAGACAGTAAATATTAAGAAACAAAAATTAAGAAAATAAAGTAAAAATTAAAATAAAAATATTTTTAAGAAATACCACGGCAGTGTAGTAGTTTGGACGCAAGTTTACTAACCTTTGTTGGTTCAAAATCGGGCATAACTGGTTATTTTTATTCGCCTATGTTCTACTCAGAGCGACGCTTATGCTCACTCAGACCCTTTTTCAAATGATTACCAATATTTACTGTCTCAACAATAAATTATTAACAACTTAAAAATAAATGTCATGGGGCAAATTCGAAAATGAAGCTTGTGCTTGCCACACTACATTGTTCTCACTTCTGAAAACATCAGGTAGATGGTCTTATACTCATTGTTTCTACGGAGGGCCCTAGAAGTGGGAAACAATTGCTGCAAAGCCTAATAATGGTGTAGACGAGTCCTAATATTTTATGTCCGCAATCGAATTAACATGCGTTTTGATTGAACAAAGTGTAAACAAATAAAAATATCACTAAATAAAAATTAATCAAACATTAATAAGAAATAAAAAATAACAAAAACTCTTCATTTTATTTTTTTTATTACACGCCATGAAAATTAAGAATGTATTCATATTTTAATAATAAGTAAATACAATGTGGCACTAATTTGTTTGTTCATATTGTTTTTAGAATAAAATCTTTCAGAATGAAAATAAATTTTAGTTTGCCAATAAGACTCTTAGTTTTTTAGATATA